AGTTACTATGGGTATCGCTACTTAGTTTTTAAGATTTCTTTCTCCTAAACTGAAAAGCAGGGGTATATTTTCTGCTGATGAGATATTAATTATGATAATTGCTAGACAGTCAAGACTTAATTCTTTTTCTTTTTCTTTTTTTGAGACAGGGTCTCTCTCTGTCACCCAGGCTGGAGTGCGGTGGCACAATCACAGCTCACTGCAGCTTCCAACTCATGGGCACAAGGGACTTTCCCACCTCAGCCTCCTGAGTAGCTGGGACTACAGGTTCTTGCCACCATGCCTGGCTAGTTAATTTTTTTTTTTTTTTTGGTAGAGATAGGATCTCCCTACATTGCCCACACTGGTCTTGATCTCCTGAGCTCAAGCAATCCTCACACCTTGGCCTCTCAAAGTTCTGGGATTATAGGCATGAGCCACACCACATTAGATCAAGACTTAATTCTTAATCCTATTTTGTTACCTTCAATATCACCTGAAATTGAAACAAACACTCAGGCACAGACATACAAACAAAAAAGCCTGGCTTCTGTTTTGTTTTGTTTTGTTTTTTAGTGGCAGGGTCTCAGTCTGTCACCCAGGCTGGAATACAGTGGCGTTATCAGAGCTCACGGCAACCTTGAACTCCTGGGCTCAAGCAATCTTCTTGTCTTGTCCTCACAAAATGCTGAGATTACAGGCATGAGCCACCATGCCCAGCTTTTTTAAAAAAATGCCTTTTTTGGGTAAAAGCCAAATAAGACAGCCAAAGTCATGTATCACTACTGTGCTATGAAAATGAGTCTCAGTATTGCTTTAATATAAACATTCCTATGCAGAGTTAAGTAATGCAAAGGGCCCTGTTCCAAAGCCAAAAGGAATCTGACTTTTGCATTATTTTTTAAAAATAATTAAGACTGGAGTTATTTTTAAATTCTTATTCTAAAAATAGAGAAGAGAAATTGCCTAAAAAATACAGCAGTGGATAAAAGAAGAGAGATTGAAATTTGAAATGGATTTTGGAAGTTAAGTGTGGATTAAAGGAGAGATATCAGTTTGTAAGGGATTATCCCTGGGCCTAATTGTCTGAGGACATGCAGCCTTGTAGGAAATGGGTAGGACAGACAGGCTGTGTTAGAATGCCTGTGCAGGAGGAGAGTGGAAGGTTCTGGAAGGCAAGGGAGGTTGCTTGTGTTTCTTTTGAATCCCCACTAAATGTAATTTTTCTTGTGGAGACATTGGTGTATGGACACAGTGCTCAGCAGAGTGCTGACGTCTGGGGGAAATGGTCAAAAACTGAAAACTTACCTTGGCAGTCTGAGGACAAAGCCACAAAACCATAAATTGTTTGGGGGCTTTCTTCAGCTTCACATCTACCAGAGCTTCTTACCTTTAGAGTTTTCTTATCTACCAAAGGACAAGGTTGCAGTGGTTATCATTGCCGTGAAAGCTCCCCAAATCTAATTTGCTCTTATTCTTCCCCCAATCTTTCTCCTGCAATTAAAAATGATGAGCTGTTTCTGGATTCCGACTCAGGAAGTTTTCATTTCTGTATAATTCTGCCACTGATGTATTTTGCAGTTTTCTCTGGGTATATGCCATTAAAGGAAATTTGGATTGCAATTTGGCTGCTTCTTAGGAGAGCAGACAGAGTATCATACCATTTTGTTTTTTCTAGTTGCAGCTTTTCATTTATGAAAGCAAAGCTTTGAGTTTGCGCAGTTCTGACATAATTCTTGCTCTTCTGCAGACACATGAGGTGAGCAGTACTGTAGAGCAAGTTTTGGAATATATTTGGAATATATTTGGTCTAGCAGTGAAAAATGACCAGTGCTATGATGACATCCGGGTTTCTCGTGTGACCTGGGATAGTTCCTTTTATGCTATCAATCCCAGATTTGTTGCCATAATCACACAAGTGAGTGCGGGAGGAGTGTTCCTTGTGCTCCCTCTGCACTAGATAAGAAATTTGACCTTCCATTCTGTTAGACACCTTCTGGTAATCTATTTTTTTTTCAAAATTGATTGACTTTAGAGATTGACCACTCACCAAGTATTGTTGGATTGATGGGGCCATTAAATTCTGATGTAGGTAAGGTTGAGTTCCACATGACTTGCTAAACTCATTCATTTTTCTCTAGCAGGAAATCATTAGACAATGATGACATCTGTTCTGGGTGTGCCCTCTATGGATGAAAAAGGTTACCATAATGATGTTGTGAACACAGGTAGGCAGAGGAATTGTACAATTTAATCCAGAATCATCCATTTTTCATAAAAGGGGAATATAGTTTTAAAACAGTTCCGTTTGTGCTCCAAAGTAAAGTTGTAAAAACAATTATATATTTAATTGGGTGGAAATTTGTGGGATAATGTTCTCTTTCTTATGAAGTTATGAAGGTTGAGACTTCTTGTTCTTTTCCAATAGCAAATGAGATGAGAGCACAAGAAAGTATTTCAAAACAAATACAGATTTCAAGTCTGGACACAGGATTCAGCATAGGATTTACTAAACAGTATTAACAAGTGGCAGAAATAAAGGGTCTTTACTGAAAGTGGTTCTGTGGGTTCTTCAACCTCAGTGGGCTTCCAAGCCCTCCTCCTTCCTTCCTTTATCCTCCCAGAGAGCCTGCTCCAAGGTGGGAGATTAGATAGGAATTCTGAGCATTTGCCGACCAATCATGAATACTGCAGATCAAAATCTGCGCCTATTTTATTAGCAAATTCTGGAATTGTGAGTAATGAAGGAAAAAAAAGCTACAAAGAGGGCTTAGAAACAGTTGTTTTTCTAGTTAGCTGATGTGATTTGGATTTGTGTCCCTGTCTAAATCTCATGTCGAATTGTGATCCCCAGTGTTGGAGGAGAGAACCGGTGGGAGGAGATTGGATGGTGGGGTGGATTTCCCCCTTATTGTTCTTGTGCTAGTGAGTTCTCACGAGATCTGGTTGTTTAAAAGTATGTAGCACCTCCCTCTTCTCTCTCTTTCTCCTGCTCCTGCCATGTGGGACAACCCTGCTTCCCTCTCACCTTCTACCATGTTGTAAGTTTCCTGAGGCCTCCCCAGCCATGCTTCCTGTACAGCCTGTAGAATCATGAGCCAATTAAACCTCTTTTCTTTATCAATTACCCAGTCTTGGGTCGCTCCTTATAGCAATGTCAGAATAGACTGATACATTAGCTTTTAGGAGAAATATGAGTTTGGCGAGTCCTGAGCTCCCATGACAAGGACTCAGTGCTGGTGAGGATGCAGATGTTAAGTTGCACGACAGCTGTTTCCACTCTGCTTAAAAATACTCAGCTCCCTCCTGAGCCTGAGCCCCATATATTAAAGGTACATCTCATCATCATGGACCATGTGATTCTGAGAGTGGTTACAGTGAAGTGAATTTCTGTTCAAGGATTGTTTCCCATTGAATTTTTTTCTTTTAATTCTCCTTTTATTTTGGAAAATCTTGACCATACAAAAGTGGAAATACTATAATGAGCCCCCACGTACCATTAATCAGCTTCAACACTATCAAGTCCAGTGTTTCCTTTCTCTGTCACTTCCAACTCAATTACTCTGAAGTAAATCCCACACATATCACTTCATTCATAATTAAGTTATGTACCCCTAGAAGGCAAACTCTTTCCTTTTATTTATCAATTTGAAAATAATGAATCTGTTTCCAAGTATCCTACAAAGATGATTACCGAGTTTTTTTAAGAATTATTTTGAACCCATTAGACATATCTGATGCAGTTAGTGTCCTTGTGGATGTGCAAACTGTCCATCTTTTGCCAACAGGAGCCTTTTCATGCTGCTTGAGTTCTTCTGACATGGCCCTAGTAATCCTTGCTAGCTTCCTTAATCTTTGATATGACCATATTGATGTGACCATGTTCCCACATTATTTGAACATTTCCTGACCCAGTTCTGGAATCAACCACCTCTCCAAAGAGCCTGAAGTTCCTTTTAGAGAGAAATGGTATGTAGACACAATCAACATGATCTTCCTACCATGCCCAACACCTCAGTTCTCAGTAACACCAACATAATTACTCATTTGCTTTATCCCCCAATACACGCACAACCATCTCCAAATAACAGCAACAGTCTAGTAATAACATGTTTATTGAAAATCCTAACACTGTTACGTTCTTTTCATTCTCAGGGTATATTCCACTAGAGATGTACTGCCCTATGTTTTGAAGTCACCTAGAAGAGTTCTTAGTGTGGTCATATGATTACATCAAGAGTTTTTTACTTTTGATGGTTAGGGACTGCTTCTTAAAACTTATTTTACAACTGATTTTACTATCTTAAAATACTCACACGGTTCCGAAGTCACATTTACACAAACAAGGCATATTTGAAGTCCAGTTCTCATCCTTGATCCTCCTGCTCTAGGCTCTTCCTTCTCCTAAAGGAAAGCATTTTCATTCCTTACCCTTTTCAACGTATTGGTATGAACACACGTGTGGCCCCTTCCAGGCAGTCCTCAGTGATGTCACACGTTCCCATGACACCTGTATTGTACTCTCATCAGTCATCACATGGAATTTATCTTCCCTAAGTATTGTTTGGGCTCCTCCACGAGATTGTGAGCATCTGACCACTGGAGGGTCGCTTCCCATTATATCCCTATTCTCAAGCACAAGGTCAGGCACAGAGTAAGACTCAAACACGTTTTGGAATATATGATCGGTATGAACTAGAAACCAGTAAGCTGAAGTTTTCATTTTGAGACTATAAATCTAATTTTGTAGTGGTTTTGTGTATGGTTCAAGGCTCAAATTGTAAAACTTAACATTATGTGACCAAAGCAAGTTATACCCAGAACCTCAATTTCCTCACCTTCAAAATGGGGCAGAGTTTCTGACTTACTGGTCTACTCTCAGGATTTTAATGAGCTCATGCATAAACAGTCCTTTATATAAAGTAAGTGCTGGATAAATGTTGGCTACTGTAATAAAATAAGCCTCTAAGATACTTGGTCAGCACAGGCACTACCCAAGAGTACGCACTGTAGAGAAACTGACAAAAAAAATTGTGTATCTAAAACCGGCCAGATGAAAGAGACACTTTTAAGGAGCCCTTCTGCATGCCCGACACTGTGCTAGGCACTCACACTATCCCGACCTGAGAAACTGATCTGGGACCCAGAGGAACTTACCAAGCCTCCAGCATCTTGTGTAGCCCTACTCGTGGGACCACCTGGATACCCAACCCCCTTGTCTTTATACGGAGCAGAACACACGTGATATATGTCAGCAAACAAAGTCAGGAAGTATATTTTCGCCTGAGGCAATATCTGAAAATTGTAGGCTCCAGCCTCCAAAGTGAGTCTTCCTCTCAGTACCTCTCTTATAGACACATGGAGACCTTTCTTCCCAGCATGAAGTTGAACCACTTAATGAATGAAGTCCTGGACCTGCTTAACCACGCCCCCTATAATCTCTGAATAATCTCCCTTTTCCACAACCTTAGGCATAATTTCATCTTCAAATTCTGGAAAAAGGAAGTTGTGGTCTGGAGTTGTAAAGTTCAGATGATCTGGTTGTGCATAAGCCTGCTTATGTCCCAATCTCCGGTCTAGGGTCTGATGCTTCTTGCTGCAGTAATACGCTTTGTGGCATCTAGAGCAAGTTTTGGGGCCTAAACAGCCGCAAAACCTACAGAGATGAGCACCAGACTTAAGTTGGAGATACATCGATTCTCCTGTTTCTGGGGGAGGATTCTCAGAAGGTGGCTCATATGAATAAAAATCATTTTTCCTGGGTAGCTGATTCCTAGAAACTCGTAGGCTGACATAGCACGGCGGCTTGCGGCAGCAGAAGCGGAAGATGCCGCCGTGGAAGGAGTAGGCGTGGCCTGCCGGGGGCTCATACACCTGCCGCAGGAAGGAGAGTGGACGGCCGCACAGCGCGCAGGCCAGCTGGGCGGCGCCCAGTCACGCCGGCCGCCCGCCCGCCCCCCCTGCTGGGGAACTGCTAGCTGCGCAGCAGCCAAGCCGGCGCCGACTCAGCGAAGACCAGCTCCACAGATCCCGCCCGGGCGGCAGCCATGTGGGGCGCGGGCTGGCGTGAGGAGCAGCCCATAGCTAGGTCTCCCATTGAAGTTTGATGTGTTTTTCTTTGGAAAACGTTCAACTCTGTGTATTTTTCTCTCCAAGATACTCCAAGTATATTTTCACCTGTGAGGCGATATCTGAAAATTGTAGGCTACAGCCTCCAAAGTGAGTCTTCCTCTCAGTACCTCTCTTTTAGTCATTGAGCCCTTTCTTTAAACTCTGATTTTTACTTTCTTGACTGAGTTGTTATAACATGACACAATAAAACCATCTTGTTACAGAAATTGGGAAAAGGATGTTTTGGGGAACAGGTTTGATACGTTTCCCATGCACCTTCTTATTGGCAATGTTGATGATCAAAATGCAAGAATCTTTTAATTAAGTTGAATTTTATTTTCCACTCGGATTCTTTAATACTTCTGCTGAAGGAATTGCTAAGAGGCCAATTAGTACAGTAGACTATTATAAGTGAACTTGATGATTTTGGAGTAGGCTTTGAACTTAATGACAATAGCATTACATTATTTTTTAGTTAATTCATTCAATAAGAGCAAAGGACATTTAGAAACTTGGTATTTTTATGTTGAGCTTTATGGTGAACAGCTAAGACAGCCACAGCTTGTCAATCAAGATCAGACACTAGAACGCCATTATCTGTTTTGGAGTTAAGTTTTTATTCCCCTGTTAATAGACTGAAGGATAAATTTAAGGCACTTTTTTCTTAAAAGAAATGGAGCAATTTAGTTAAAACAATCAAAATAAACTTTTGAATGGCTAATCTTCATCTGAGATCAGACAGTTCCCTTCAACTTCCAAATTCACAAAGGCTCTGTGAGTGTGTCTTTGCATTTGCAAAAAGCCATGGGAAACTTTGAGTTTCACTTTTACCATCTAACGGAGACCTGTGTGCAGTTCTTATCTAACTGGATCTTATTATTTGGTTTATATTTCTATTAAGCTACTGCCACTTCATGTACATGTATACATATGTACATATATATATTTAATTGCCTTTCACAATTAGTATAGACTATATTACTTTACAAATTATTATGTGTACCTGAAGTGTTGCTTTTTGGAGGAGTCTCAAGGATTTTTCTCAGACTATCATACTGTTTGTGTGGCTTTGCTCATTAAATATTTATTTGTTTTGGAGGAAGTGACATTGGTGTAAACTAAGCCCTGTGACAACCGTTAGAAATAAGGTTACTGCTTGGGGTTATTTTTTTTACTGTGGCAAAATTTGGTGGAATTGTAACACTTGTGGATTAGACTAGAATCCGGCTTATCTTCTGTACCCAAGACCTGTTGTTAATTACTTGGGTGATGTCAGGCAAATTACCTGAGATCTTTATGCCTGTCCAACACTTGTGAATGCGCACTTTACAAGCTGAGTATGAACTTTTTACCCTTATTTTAGTTAAAATATCATGAATTTTATCTTCTTTTTCTGCAAACAGCCCTCCATTCTGAATCTTTGCTGCATGAGGAGACACTGCCCCCTACAGGAACTAGATAGTATAATATCTGCCCCTGGTGTGTCCGGAATTGGTTCCTTCTGGTGGGCTCTTGGTCTTGCTGACTTCAAGAATAAAGCTGTGGACCCTGGCGGTGAGTGTTACACTTCTAAAAGACAATGTGTCCAGAGTTTGTTCCTTCAGATGTTCAGATGTGTCTGGAGTTTCTTCCTTTGGGTGGGTTCGTGGTCTCGCTGACTTCAGGAGTGAAGCTGCAGACCTTTGCAGTGAGTGTTACAGCTCTTAAAGGTAGTGTGGACCCCAAGAGTGAGCAGCAGCAAGATTTATTGTGAGGAATGAAAGAACAAAGCTTCCACAGCATGGAAGGTAACGCAAGCAGATTGCCATTGCTGGCTCCCAGGTGGCCAGCTTTTATTCCCTTATTTGGCTGCACACATGTCTTGCTGATTGGTCCATTTTACAGGGTGCCAATTGGTCCATTTTACAGAGTGCTGATTGGTTCATTTTACAGAGTGCTGATTGGTGAGTTTATAAATCTTTAGCTAGACACAGTGCTAATTGGTGCATTTTTACAGAGTGCTGATTGGTGCGTTTACAAACCTTTAGCTAGACACAGAGTGCTGATTGGTGCATTTACAATCCTCTAGTTAGAAAAGTTCTCCACCTTCCCCACTCCACCCAGAAAGTCCAGCTGGCTTCACCTCTCACTGGGATCAGGAGGTGCTGGCTGCCTGGGGTCAGAAATAGGAAGCTTGGGGTGAGCCTGAGGGGTCCTGGAGGCTGAGACTAACTATTTTCTAAAAGAAATGGCAAATACAACCATTATTTGTTGTTTTTCTCCTTTATTATGTAAGCATTGAATGTTCATAGTAGAAAGTGTGGAAATTGCAGATGCACTAAATGAACTAAATGGAACCATTCCGTAAAAATAATCCCCAAACCCAGGGGCCCTGACCATTTGTATGTGAGTAGGCCTCCTTCATGTCTTATGTCTACATGAGCTCCCTCCTCATTATCCCATAGGAAAGAGAGAATGAGTCCTTAAAAAGTTGTTCACGGGGTAAGGGTTTCTCTCAACTTCATTTTGAATTGCAAAGGGGAGTTTAGAGAAGACGCTTGGGCCTTAAAGGACCTCCATTAACATGAATATTGGGACCTAAAGAGGTGTCCCAGGAAACCAGGAAAACAAGTGGTAAAGAAATCGGACTCAGACTTCGCAATTATTCCTTGGAAGATGACCTCACACTTACAAGCATGGATGGGGATGTATACAGTGTTTTTACAGTTACTTAAAAGAAGAATCTCACATTGACATTGTGGAGGTTTCACAGTTAAAGGATTAATTTAAAAATGTCCTAATGCCACATGAATCCCTCGCCGTGGTCAAGAGTTTCCTGATTCAAGGCTTCTGTTTCTCCCTCCGCTTAGACGAAAGAAAAGATGTGAAGCCCTGGAAAACTGGCTTTGAAGATGCCAAACTCGCTTTAGAGAAGAGAAAGGCATTGCTGTCGGAGATGCTTGTGAAGAATTTGAGTTAAAAAATTGTTTTCTAACCAAATACCGCATGTTCTCACTTATAAGTGGGAGCTAAACATAGAGCATCCGTGGACATAAACATGGGAACAATGGATACTGCAGACTACTAGAGTGCGGAGGGAGGGAGGGAAGGAGGGGGATGGGGGTTGAAAAAGCACCAGTTGGGTACTAGGCTCACTACCTGGGTGCCATGTACCCATGTCACAATCTGCACATATGCCCCCTGTATCTAAAATAAAAGTTGAAATTAAAAATAAATAAATAAATACAAGATTGGCTGTCTCTGTAAAAAAACTAAATTGTTTTCCGGCTGGGTGCGGTGGCTCACGCCTGTAATCCCAGCACTTTGGGAGGCCGAGGCAGGTGGATCATCTGAGGTCAGGAGTTCGAGAC